GCTGGGCCCACCAGCAGCCCTCGAAAGTTGCCACAGTTTGGCAGTTCGCAGCCCCCCCAGGGACGGCGAGGTCTCGCTCAGGTCTGCGCGGTGCCTCACTCCGCAGGGCCCAACAGCAGCCCTCGAAAGTGGCGACGGTTTTGCAGATCGCAGCCCCCCCCCAGGGACGGCGAGGTTTCGCTCAGGTCTGCGCGGTGCCTCACTCCGTTGGTTCCACCAGCAACCCTCGAAAGTGGCGACCGTTTCGCAGATCGCAGCCCCCAGGGACGGCGAGGTCTCGCTTAGTTTTGCGCGGTGCCTCGCTCCGCAGGGCCCAACAACAGCCTTCGAAAGTGGCGACCATTTCGCAGATCGCGGCCCCCCGCAGGGACGGCGAGGTCTCGCTCAGGTCTGCGCGGTGTCTCATTCCACAGGACCCACATGCAACCCTCGAAAGTGGCGACAGTTTCGCAGATCGCAGCCTCCCGCTCAGGTTTGCGCGGCGCCTCACTCCGCAGGGCCCACCAGCAGCCCTCGAAAGTGGCGGCAGTTTCGCAGATCGCAGTCTCCCCAGGGACGGCGAGGTCTCGCTCAGGCCTGCGCGGTGCCTCACTCCGAAGTGGCGAACGTTTCGCAGTTCGCAGCCCCCCAGGGGCGGCGAGGTCCGGCTCAGGTCTGCTCGGTGCCACCCTCCGCTGGACCCACCAGCAGCCTTCGAACATGGCGACAGTTTCGCAGATCGCAGCCCCCCAGGGACGGCGAGGTCTCGCTCAGGTCTGCGCGGTGCCTCGCTCCGCTGGGCCCACCAGCAGCCCTCGAACGTGGCGACCGTTTCGCAGATTGCAGCCTCCCAGGGACGGCGACGTCTCGCTCAGGTCTGCGCGGCGCCTCACTCCGCTGGACCCACCAGCAGCCCTCGAACGTGGCGACCGTTTCGCAGATCGCAGCCCCCCCAAAGGACGGCGAGGTCTTGCTCAGGTCTGCGCGGTGCCTCACTCCGAAGTGGCGACGGTTTCGCAGATCGCAGCCCCCCAGGGACGGCGAGGTCTCGCTCAGGTCTGCTCGGTGCCTCACTCCGCTGGACCCACCAGCAGCCTTCCAAAGTGGCGACCGTTTCGCAGATCGCAGCCCCCCCAGGGACGGCGAGGTCTCGCTCAGGTTTGCGCGGTGCCTCACTCCGAAGTGGCGAATGTTTCGCAGTTCGCAGCCCCCAGGGACGGCGAGGTCCGGCTCAGGTCTGCTCGGTGCCACCTCCGCTGGACCCACCAGCAGCCCTCGAACATGGCGACAGTTTCGCAGATCGCAGCCCCCCAGGGACGGCGAGGTCTCGCTCAGAGCCTGTGCGGTGCCTCGCTCCGCTGGACCCACCAGCAACCCTCGAACGTGGCGACCGTTTCGCAGATCGCAGCCCCCCAGGGACGGCGAGGTCCCGCTCAGATCTGCGCGGCGCCTCACTCCGCTGGACCCACCAGCAGCCCTCGAAACGTGGCGACCGTTTCGCAGATCGCAGCCCCCCAAGGACGGCGAGTCTCGTCGCTCGTTTTGCGCGGTGCCTCACTCCGAAGTGGCGAATGTTTCGCAGATCGCAGCCCCCCAGGGACGGCGAGGTCGCTCAGGCCTGCGCGGTGCCTCCCTCCGCTGGGCTGTGGCGACCGTCGCAGCCCCCCAAGGGACGGCGAGGTCTCGCTCAGGCCTGCGCGGTGCCTCACTCCGAAGTGGCGAATGTTTCGCAGTTCGCAGCCCCCCAGGGGACGGCGAGGTCCGGCTCAGGTCCTGCTCGGTGCCACCCTCCGCTCGAATGGCGACAGTTCGCAGCCCCCCAGGGACGGCGAGGTCCGGCTCAGGTCTGCTCGGTGCCACCCTCCGCTGGACCCACCAGCAGCCCTCGAACATGGCGACAGTTTCGCAGATCGCAGCCCCCCAGGGACGGCGAGGTCTCGCTCAGGCCTGCGCGGTGCCTCGCTCCGCTGGGCCACCAGCAGCCCTCCAAAGTGGCGACCGTTGCGAAGATCGCCAGGCCCACCAGCAGCCTTCCAAAGTGGCGACCGTTTCGCAGATCGCAGCCCCCCCAGGGACGGCGAGGTCTCGCTCAGGTTTGCGCGGTGCCTCACTCCGAAGTGGCGAATGTTTCGCAGTTCGCAGCCCCCCAGGGACGGCGAGGTCCGGCTCAGGTCTGCTCGGTGCCACCCTCCGCTGGACCCACCAGCAGCCCTCGAACATGGCGACAGTTTCGCAGATCGCAGCCCCCCAGGGACGGCGAGGTCTCGCTCAGGCCTGCGCGGTGCCTCGCTCCGCTGGACCCACCAGCAGCCCTCGAACGTGGCGACCGTTTCGCAGATTGCAGCCCCCCAGGGACGGCGAGGTCTCGCTCAGGTCTGCGCGGCGCCTCACTCCGCTGGACCCACCAGCAGCCCTCGAACGTGGCGACCGTTTCGCAGATCGCAGCCCCCCCCAAGGACGGCGAGGTCTCGCTCAGTTTTGCGCGGTGCCTCACTCCGAAGTGGCGAATGTTTCGCAGATCGCAGCCCCCCAGGGACGGCGAGGTCTCGCTCAGGCCTGCGCGGTGCCTCACTCCGCTGGGCCCACCAGCAGCCCTCGAACGTGGCGACAGATTCGCAGATCGCAGCCCCCCAGCGACGCAAAAAGAGGGGGCAGGAGGACGGAGGATGCGGGAGGAAGGACGCGCGAGCAGTGCTCTATTCATAAACGAATGCCCAACCACCGAGGGGTGGGAAACCATCCGCCTGTAGGAGGACGCGCCCGACCTGATGGTGGACCCTTGGAGAGTTTCCCGTGTCCATGGCTTTGGGTCGCCCAGCTCGGCGGTTGAGCCGGCGAATCAGTGCAGGCGGCCAGGGGAGAGGCCCAAGACAGTGGGATTTGGCCTGTTTCGCTGTTTCGCTGGGGCGCCGCGGATCACGCCTATGCAACATGCCCATGCTCGCGTCATCCCGCTCTGTTGCGCTTGCCCTCTCCTCCTCCTCCTCCTGGCTTTAGTCCTCCTCGTGCTCCTCCTCGTCCACCTCCTCTCCCCTGCCCCCCTTATCCTCCCACGCGCGCTGCGGGAGAGGGCGAACGAGAAGAGTCGGGACGGGGAGGACGGGAAATGAAGATCTAGAACATTCACCAGGCTTGATACTACTGGTTCCCAGGAGGCGTCTGGAAAATTGGAAGCATGCCTCTGGGCGATCGCATGTGCCAGATACTTGCAAGATGAGGAGGTCATGTCGAACATGGTCGTGGACACATGTTGACGCCCAACATATTCATGCATGGAGCCTTGCCGCGTGATTGGCACGCTTCGTGCTCGTACTCTCTCGAAGAACGGATGAATGAATGTAGACCTGCTCGCTGGTATGACCGTGGTCTCAGGCATTGATGGGCAACCACCGAGGAGGAGCAGGAGGAGGAGGGTGAGGAGGAGGAGGAGGAGGAGGAGGAGGAAGAGGAGGATGAGGAGGAGGAGGAGGGTGAGGAGGAGGAGGCGGAGGAAGGAGGAGGAGGAGGAGGAGAAGGAGGAGGAGGAGGAGGTGGAGGAGGAGGAGGAGGAGGAGGAGGAGGAGGAGGAGGAGGAGGAGGAAGGAGAGAAAACGGTCGCGGGGCAAGCGCCAGCAGCCAAGGCCATCATTGACGGGATGCATCATGGGACGCGTTCTGGGGTGCGCCGGGCGGTTTGTTCTGCTAGGTTATGGGGTTGGTCGGCGACCCCCGTGCGGAACACGACGTTCGAGGTACGACGGAGCGGGGGTTGGATCAGCATCGTTGAAACCGATCCCCATGCCCTTCTCCATCCCTGTCCAGATCCCCACCATCCCACCACCCTAGTTGGGGATATGCCTCTCGAAACTCGAAGGGAACAGCCTATGCCCCCATCCGGGGGGATAAATCGGCCAGTGGGGCCCAGGCCACGCCCGTGGGGATAGGGATCGGTTAAACGACGCTCATTCAAGAGATCAGGGGAAGGACGGGAGGGCTGGGACCGCCATTCCTGCGAAGCGAGCTTGGAGGAACGCCGCATAGGCATCCCATCTTCTCTACCTGGGTGGCTTTACTTTCTTGCGCTGCCTTGCGAGGGGAAGGGTGAGGAGGCGGAGGACGAAGGGGAAGGAGGAAAGGGAAAGGGAAGGACGAGGAGGAAGAGTGCGGATGTGTTCCTGTGAGAACTCGCACAGGGCTAGCGCATGCTGTCCAGCCCCGAGCCAGAGGACCACGGAAGGTGGCACTGCCGATTCCATCAGCGCGATCCCGATTCCCCATCGCGACCCAGATCCCCCATTCACCACCCACCAAACCACCCCAACCCAACCCGAAGGCTCCAATTTGCCATTCATTTCCAGTGGCGGGGGGGGCGGGGGGGAACATTGAACAAAACACGTGTGGAACTCGTTACCCCCCCCCCAACCCGAAGTTTCGGTTTTCGGGTCAGGCTGGGGTGCTCTGGTAGGTAGTCCCCCTCTGCGTCGACCCCACCCGTCGACCCCGTCGACCCCACCCGTCGACTTGGGCGAGCGACCCCACCAATCGCGACCCAGATCCCCCACTGCGTCGACCCCACCCGTCGACCCCATATCGAACCCGCCTCTACTGGCCACCCGCATTGGGCGCGAAGCCAGTCGCGCCCCTCGCGCTGCCTGCGGCCCGGACCACAGAGAGAGCCGCTCTTCCTCCTC